CACACACACACACACACACACACACACACACACACACACACACACACACACACACACACACACACACACACAGCTTTATCACTAACACACTTCCACTTTCTGTTCTCCAAATGGTTGTGGTACCAACATTACTAAAAATACATATTTTTCTACTTTGTTCTTGCTTATTTCCGCTTATAACATACAACCGTAACAATTGTTCAAACATTTACCTTAAAAAGACAAAAAAATAAAAGACAAAGTCAACCCAACATAAAACGTACACATGGAGAAATGCAAAAAATATACAAAATAAATTTAAAAAACAACCTATCACACAAACACAGACTGGATCAAAACAATGCTATCTGCAAAATGATGTCACGTTTTTAATCCCATTTTAAAAACTCAAATCGCTTTGAGTTTGTTACATCATGTGATCAAATTACCTTAATCTTAGCCACCGCAGAAAGAAAGTATTTAGATTGAAAAAAGCTTCTAATATTCCGAATTTTGACAGATTTTAAAGCTTATTGATAGAAAGAAAATTCTAGAAAGAGCTTTAGGTCATTCAAAGATTAGCTTTTTTATTTAATGGGGAACAAAACTATATTAGTGAACCAGACAAATGTACCTGGTAAATTAAGTAACATTAATTAATATCGCCATCAATTTTCACAAGTTTTACGAGCTACTTTTGTATAGTTTCATGTTGAATGTGCAATAAAATACCAAAAATACAACCTCCTTTCTTTACAGGCAGTGTCAGTAAAACAAAACAAAGAAACATGCCTTATTGTACGCCTGAAAACCAAAAGCAGTTTCTTTTTACTTGACTTTGATTGATAAGGACATTATCACTACATCATGACTAATGTATGTTGCTATCAGCATGAGAAGCAGTGGTTTTGAACTCCAGCCGTGGCCATGCCCTGCAGACGGACTGTAAATAAGTCCCTCTTATTGCCCCTTTGAGTAAAGTTCTCAGTGAAGTTTAATTAACTATACGTTACCCCAGGCAGTGTGTGGGCTTCTGTATTATCTCCCCAGGTCCTGTTTGGACAGTTTAATGCTTTGCTGTAACTCAATACACTCCTCGGGTCAGAATGTGTGCAGAGAGAGCGGAAATGAGACGGACTTCTGGAGTTAAAGTCACAAACCAGTGAGGAATTAGACCATCAAGTTCTTGGTCGATAGAGTTATTAAGAGAAGTTAATGAAGGATTAGCACGACAAGTTGCTGGAGAAGCAAAAGTTTAATTACTGATGTTTGAGAGTCGTCCGTGAAGATGAAAAATTAAACAAATAACGAAAATTAAAAAGGAAGTGTTTGGCTTTGTCAACACTTTGCAGAGAGAAGAAGAAAGAAGATTAAGAAGAGAAAGGGAAGAAGAAGCTTTGAAGACGACCTTTACGAAGATGGAGAATTGAAGAAGACCTTGATGTTGAAGAACTCGGAAGAGAATAAGAACTTCAAGAACCTGAAGAAGAACTTCAATAACCTCAAGAAGAACTTCAATAACCTCAAGAAGAACTTCAAGAACCTCAAGAAGAACTTCAAGAACCTCAAGAAGAACTTCAAGAACCTGAAGAAGAACTTCAAGAAGAACTTCAAGAACCTCAAGAAGAACTTCAAGAACCTGAAGAAGAACTTCAAGAACCTAAAGAAGAACTTCAATAACCTCAAGAAGAACTTCAAGAAGAACTTCAAGAACCTCAAGAAGAACTTCAAGAAGAACTTCAAGAACCTCAAGAAGAACTTCAAGAACCTAAAGAAGAACTTCAAGAAGAACTTCAAGAACCTCAAGAAGAACTTCAAGAACCTCAAGAAGAACTTCAAGAACCTCAAGAAGAACTTCAAGAAGAACTTCAAGGACCTAAAGAAGAACTTCAAGAACCTCAAGAAGAACTTCAAGAATGATTTGAAGGATAAATACCCTAACCCTAACCTCAGATCATCTTCGTAATATCTATCAAACTATAGATCCTACACATCGACTGGACGTGGATTCTAAAAGTACAATCTACACTTCTCGCCAGAAATCGAATCAAAAAGCATTTTAATGGCCAAACTATTCCACAATTTAGGATTTTCCAGAGAGGGTTATTTGTGAATAAACGGGAGCATGTTGTTTCTTACACGACCACTAGGGGTGCTGCACTTTAAAACGTGGCTATGGGTCGTAATCTAAGCTGCTTAAACAATCGACCTATTTGGTCTTTTTTTGTAGGAGGACAGGCTGATGAATACTTTATTAATCCATCATTTCAGTTTCACATTTACCATGACACTTTACACGGAGTGAAACACACAAATAAATGTTCCTAAAACTCATCTTTGTCTCATTGAAAGCGTCAGAGTTTATATTTATTACTTTCTTATTTTGGCAGTCGTGTCTATAGACTCATTAAACCTGAACAAACGACCTGACGGCGGGATTTGAGCTTCATAATTAAAGTTGTTTGAGTGTTCGCTGACGCTGGCGAACACATTCCTCGCTGAGACCCATCTGAAGAGAGACCGTCTCTCTGTGTTTCAATGAGTTCAGTCTCAGCCTATATTTAGCAGCATGTGTGATGTATGGGAGCAGAAACAATAGAAAGAGCTATTTCAGAATCTGACCTCGCTCCATCATTCTCCCAGAAAACCCTCGAGCCTCCTTTGGATTTAAACAATAATAACAAAGACGTTCTCAGAAAATGTTATCCTTTGGGCGTTTGTTGTTTCTTCTTAAACTAATATATGTACAGTATGCGCTCGTATTGTTTGTATTCATTGAAGAGTTTTGTCATTGGCTTAAAACAGTGAAAACAGGAGAACATTTACCAAGCTCTGAAGTTGTGACACTGTTATGTATTCATGTGTCTCATATTATATGTTAAATATCCTTAAAAATACCTATGTTTGCATTTATCTAATAACAGACTTTTATTTGTAATTGAGTATTTTCTAAATACTGTATTGGTACTTTTACATTTAATGATACAGAAAGATTACCACACCTACTGAAACTCAAACTTCATTGATCCCAATAGAACAGGGGTACTCAAATACAAATCTTAAAGGTCCAACATTTTCTTTTCAATAAGACAAAGGTCCGTTTATTACGGTCATTCACACGAGGTTGCAAAAACAAAAATAATCTGTATGCAGCAGTTTTCATTGTTATTGTGTCTGTGCTTGATCCCTCAGGGTCGCAGTGCAGCTGCAGTTATGAATAAAGGCAGCTGCACCCTCTTTCATTCAGCATTACCATTATTGCTTTATAAATGTCTTGCCCCCTTGTGTGTCCACTGAGGTTCGTCAGGCCCAACACATCTTCAACAAACTCCCCCTTT